CTGGCTGCTCGAAGTTCCCTTAAGTAGAAGAATCTGCCGAAAAAAACTGTGCCATAAGCAATGAAAACCTGTAGGTGAACAATGCAAATAAAAACGTATCTTCGCATTGGCAGCCGATGCGCTTTCGACTAATTGCATAATCATCGTGTAGGCGATGAATTGGGAATGAGAGCAATTGAAATATGGCAGAGTAAATTGGGATGTGTTCGACAAATTAGAAACGTCAAAGACTTCAAAAGATAGATGGACTATTCTAATCATTTCGGTAAATGATATGGTAGACCAAAAGCCCGCACTGCATTGAGTTTGAGTAAGTAGATTTTGCACCAAAGACGCTTGTTTCCTGAAGTTTGTTTTTTGCTTTAGAAGTCTTTCCGTTTTCTGAAAAAAACATATTGCAACCCAATCGAAGAAACTTGGAAAAAATTAGCTTCTATTTCCGCGGGCGCATGGTTCTCATCTAAAACTATTAGTAATCATAACTAAAAACTGCGGATTCAAATACGTCTTTTGTATCATTTTGCAGATTTTCAGCAGGTAAATTCACTTTGCGAAAATGGCAGCAAGTAATCTCAGATACGGGAACTTCCTGGCTTATAATGCCGCAGAATGTGTTCTATGAGGTTGCCGATCAAGTGGGCGCTAGTTACAATCCATGGCTAGGAGTTTACGAATTTGACTGCTCGGTGCTGCAGACTGGCGGGCTGCCATCAATGATATTCACGATTGGTGAATACGAGTATATTGTGCCTTCGACAGAATATGTTATAAAGGTATCCATGGTTAAATGATCCGTTTGGGGTATCGGCCAATGCAATCAAAACTGAATAGAAATCTTTTCAAATGAAATAATGAATCCACCAAAAAATGCATTCTTGCCAAGAACCAAAAGCGGCATTTCCTTTCCTGCCCAATAAACAAAAACTTTACCATATGGGTTGCAAGAAGCGAAGAACTGGGAAAAAGATTTGGCCGTCAAAGTTTGACTCAATAACATTCTTTAGCGCAAGAAGACACCGAAGAATTCCTGTGACTGTACGTTTTTATTTTTCATTCAAGGAGCATTTTCGTACCACTTTTGCACTCACTTAGCAAGTCAAGACGCCAAAAAA